CGAGGTTGACAAATGGATTTGAATCAGATATCATTCTACATTATTAAAACAATAAGAAGCCATTTGACCTTTGGCTCTCCGGCGTCTATTTTTCTTCACTCGCATGTCCGCGTTTGAAAGGCCTCCATAAATAATATACTGGCGCTCGAAAACTTTTCTCTCCGCGCACCAGGTGCTAATAAATATTTAAAAAAAATTCTCATGCCCATGCATGAGCAGCGTGTATTTAAAAACGCAGGTAATAATATTTGGAATGATGGAAGCCGTCGGTGCTGGAGATTCTCACACACCGCGCGCGCTCTTTTCATAAATAATGCAATTGGTCCATTGAAAAAGCAGCCAGTGGAAAGTGGGTGGTTTCCTGGAGCATCCTGCCGCAGATAAATAATGAACCTGTTTGTGTGACAAATGCCCCGGCAGGTATCCTGAAATTATGCCAAGGTGCGCTGCTCGCCGGCACAAAAAGGGACCTTTTTCTTTTCTGCGCGCGGGGCTGTGGGAATTTTATAGTTTTTCCTATGCGGATAAATAAAAGTGACGTTCTCATGCACACCGCGAATATAATGCGTCGGGTAGTCAACAAGTGTTTGTGCGTTTCTTTTTCGCTCTCTCGCCGGGGTGCAGACGCCGCTCGAACCCTTTCTTTCTTTACATATACCTGCTGCGATGCGAACGCGAGAGATGTTCTTTTCTATTTCCCACGATGATGTGTGGGTCACAATCCGCTCACTCTGGTATGAATAATGCTTCAAAAGGACAGTCCATTATTACTTGCTGAGAGATGGTCACTGTCTCTTTACAGGTGAATAATTCGTTTTAAAGGGGCTCAGGGTAAAACTTTTCTAAAATTTGATGCATTTTATTGGTTTAATAGTAATTTTAAAACAGTAGAAAAACGTATTTATTTTTTAAATAGACGTGCAGATATAAGAAATAACTGTACAAACTAAAACAGACTAAATCAGAGCGACAAGCAAAAAGTTCTAAACGCTTGGAAACAAAGAGAATTATTATGACTCTTCTCCAAAAATTTTATTTTAGCAATTTTTTTTCCCATAAAAATTATTAGTATACTTAATATAGTTTCTAATTTCAGAACCACATTTTTTGCTTCTATCCTTACTACAATATGTCAAAACTTCTTCACCTTTTTCAACAAACTTTTTAACATAATATCTCCCTTAAAAAAATTAGTTTCATTGTAATTAAGGGATTAAAATTAAATTTCAATATTATAATTTTTTTCTTCCAATCCAAATTTTTTTCCGACTTACATGCAGATTTCACAACACTGATAATATTCAAATGTTTTGCTGCTCATGTTGATACATTGATTGATTCTCTCATTCTTGGCTCTCGCACAAAGAATTGACCAAACCCATTCAATTACGCTTCTCTTGCAAAGGTGCGTTTGTTGAACGGCGCCTACGGAGGCAGTCTATTTATTTCTGCAAAAGCCAATATCCAATTTAATAAACATAAATAAATCTCTCTCGCACAACCACTAAATCAAAATAATGACTCGGGTGCTGATTGAATAATAGAACGAGAGAAAGAATACAAATAGAGAGGAGATCGTTTTTGCGCCATTGTGTGCGCCACAAAAAGGGCAGTCGGCGTTTGCTAATCATTTTTATTATACGCGCCGGGCTGAAGATGGCAATAAATAAGCCGGTGGCCATTACTCTCCATCAACACACACACATCCACCTTCTCTGGCTCGGTACGGCACTGCTTTTTATTATCATTATTTTTATGCTCGCGGCCGCCGCCGGTGTATGAACTTTAATTGTTGCTAAACACACACAAAGGAGAGTGCGTGGGAGTGCGACAGGTCAGCACTGCAGCACAGTCCGCCGCGCGGTCCACCACTTTTTTCTCCATACAGAGAGATGAATGGCCCATTATTGTGCTTGGCCTTAATGTGCAAACTGGCAGCGTGATTTATCACTCGTGTCACTCGCCGCGCCGCGACATCCATTTAAATAACCCTAAATAACGCCGAGCACACACACACATACACTCGCTCCGTCACACACCCAAATAAAATCAACCTGCTGCAAAATAAGCGTACGTCGGTGTTATATTGTTGCCGAAGAGAAAAATGCACACACGCTCTCGCAAATTAGATGCTGGACAACAATGAGAAATTATAGTATGTTGGGTGTACCTGAAGGGAACTTTGCAAATATTAAAAAAAAAATCCAATATTTGTTTGAAGTTGTAGGAATTGTTCAAAATTGAAAATATTTAAATTTTATTTTTTAATTTTGATGATTTAGGATATTAAAAAATTATTTAAATGTGCTCTCTGAACTCTCTTCAACAATTGATTAATAAATTTATTTTCCATATCTTTAATATTCATTGATCTTTTTTCCAATTTCTTATAAAAATTAGACTTTGAAGCATACAATTTACTTGTAATTAATTTATGTACTCAAAATATATTAACTTTTCAAGGGAAAAACTGAAGTTGAGCTCTTTCCTATAATGTCAACAAGTAAGTTATCAAATTGTGGACAAATAAACAACAATAATAATTATACCGAATTAAGTGTAAAATTTTTAAATTATGAAAATGAAAATTTGAGATATTGTCATTTTAAAAACGTTCAAAAAGGACAGATTGTGGTGGGCATCATTCCTTCAAGAAACTTAACCAGAATTATTAAAGAAAAAAAATTTCAAAATGAAAATACTATAAAATTTATGTCTTGTGAATTGACAATGTTCCCTTGTGCTGAGATTCAATCCGAATTAATCAAGTTGGCGCCACTCCTCAGCTTGGCCACGAGATTTTAATTTTCTCACCACCAGACAACAATGATTTAATTTCCGCCAGCCGGTCATAAATCTACGTCTAGTTTGCGAATTTTCATTTCGCGTGGCAGAATTTTTTTATTGTTCTGTGCTCTACCGCGGGAGAAAATTTAATTTTCATAAACCACTCCGAGGCGCTTTATATATTTCATAAAAAGTGTGGGCGTGTAAAATCCCATTTTTTAAAGCATGTAAACTTAATTATTTGGGTTATTAAATCGCTAATAAAATCGCAGGGGCTCGCCGCGGGCGCGAATTAATTCTCTCTCGGAAATTTCTCTTTCAGAGAGTGAAGGTGTGGCGCTGCACAGCATTATCATTTATCGCCAGGTTTATTAGCATTTAAAAACAATTTCGAGGTGCTTTGCAATATTCAGCACTTGGAGAGGAAAGTGTAAAGTGTGTTTCGCACGGCGGGCATCAGACAGATCACTTGAGCAAATCCCGCATAATTAAATTACTTTAACATTTTACATGAAAGTTGTGCTTAACGCCATCTTGATAACATAATCAATGGTGTCCGCTAAAATGAAGAGTAAAGTCAGTAATAAAGCAAGTGTTTTTTTTTTTAAATAAAAAAACTGTTTATTAAAAATACATTAAGAATAATTTGATTATTTTCTTTAATTTGTAATTTTCATAAATGTCTATATTTTAAAGTTATTTTTAATTAAAACTAATTTATTTAGAAAATAAAGTTTTTATAACTTCAAGTTAGATAAATGCACACAATTTCTATCCGTAATTGTAATCAATTTGATAAAATACTCAGTAAAAGTTTTGATGCCTGGATGGTAAAATAAAATGAACTGAGACACAAAGCATACGAGTGAATCAGGGTTACGAAGATGAAAGAAAAGAAATTTAATTGATATTTACGCAATCAGATAAACGTTGCTTGCGTAATGAAGTGTGCAAAGTGGATTGAAATTGCACAATCGCGTCGCTGCTGGAGACCGAAGGAGTCTATATCTTTCTCCCCTTTGTTAAGAAGGTGCATGCAAATTTATTACCATGCGACGCTTTCGTGAGTGCCCAAGATGAAAAAAAAACTGCGGCTCGCACAATCAGACCATGTTTTATTGTCTTTTAATTAGCAGGTGATTGAAAGTTTGATATACCTGATCAAGAGCACGCCGCGCGACCGATTCACTTTCCAATAACCAGCACTTGTTCGGGGAGTCTCGCTTGTCTCTATTGTGAATCGAAATCCGCAGCTCTCCTTCTTTCTTTTTAAAAGCGGGGGGCTTCGATCGCATTGTGAGTTGACATTTGAATTTAGCCCACAGGTGCACTTTGATTTGGACCTGCAGATAAATATGGCGTTCTTTCGAGAGCGTATATTAATATCATATCTTAATCGATTCAGAAAATCACGGTCAGTTGGTCGCCCTGGCTATGGAAAGACAATGGAAATATTATTATTATGGACCAAGAGCAGTGCGACCTGAAGACAAGCTTTGTATCTATATATATTTAAAAAAAATATAGTATTTAGTATTTCCAATATAACAGTTTTACAATAAGTGATGTTCAAATCCAACCTCTTATCAAGTTAATTTAACATAAATGCTTGATGCCGAAAAAAATTACTTCTGCTTCTTTAGAATTTCGGAATCAACAATACAAAATATTATTTACTGACAAGTTTTACGATTTCTTTCAGGCTTCAGGCATAGAAGAATTTTATTACTATTGATGAATAAAAGAACCCTTTTTTTAAATGAAATTAATAATCAAAGCCGCACCACATTATAAGTTTTATAATAAAATAAAAATGAAATATCCAGGACATCTCCTATTTTTTTTTTATTGTTTATATTATTCATATTTTATTAACACCAGTTTTATTACATCATCAATCATTATTTTTTAATCTGTAAATAAGACGCATAACTAACTAATACCATTCTAGACTGCAGCATGCATAATTATATAGACAGCCACAATTCAGCATTTTTGATAATGCGCTTTAACAAACTTAAAGAGGGCCAAAATAAAAACGTTTGTAAATAACATCACTTGCTGCCAGCAACTTCGTGGAATTGGTGATATCAAAAAGTTGATAGCATGACCCCCCCCCCCCCCCGTACTACAATTAAATACCTGCTTGAACAAGGAAGTTGGCAGAATAATAAAGCAAAGCAATTCATTTTAAACTTGGAACGCATACAAAATGCACGTTGGCCGCTACCACAAATATTTTTTGCTTATTTTTGTCATCTCGTGTTTTTTATGGCTATTAATAATAATTTTCAAAGAGAGTGCAGTTTTCATGAAGGACGACAAATCTGTAGAGGACCCATACGAGCAGTTGCAAATTGACAGAACAGTTTTCGGAATCGACATGAAGATGGAACTCGTAACTTTTCTTACTTTTAACACTATTTTTTATTAGTGCTAGCTAACGCACTGAAGGCGGATTTTATAAAACTTGAGGTCTGAACCTTGTTTGCATTCATTCATTCAATACAATTTTAGGCAAAAAAATTCAATGCACCTCTTCCAATGCCGGACAAAGTTGCTGCTGGATTACGTTTTAATGCCTCTTGCGCCAAATACACACCCCCGATGAAGATAAGTTTCAGTAACATTTACTGGCAAGTGCTAGAAATGAGCAGCAGCAAAGTCACGTACTTCATGTATGGCGCCTACTTTGACAACCGGTTGACCACCGGTGCTGTTCGCGTCGTGGCTTTCCTCACCAAATTAGTTGATAACGACACAAGACCTCACTGCCAGCTGTGGTTTGAAGGTTTACGGAAACCAGTGATAGTCAAAGTAATTATACTGAATTATACTTACACATACAAAGTAAAAAATTTAAGTATTAAAAATAGCAATTATCTCATCCAGTTATCAATTTGTAGGCCATCAGCTGGGGTGCAACTTATCTAGCTGATAAAGTTCAAAATAAACTTTTATGTTGCATTTTTAGGCTTTAATTTTTTTTTTAAATTAAATTTAGAACAAACAGTTGTTATATTTTCGTTAGAGATTTCTTCACCAAAGAGATATTTTAGGCACAAAATCTAAATAATTGTAAGTATAATTAAAAATTGATAAATTCTTGCAGCATGATATTGCAGACTTGTCGAATTAAATATCCACATTTGTCTTTGAAAAAGATTTACTTTTTAACCTAATTTTTTTATTCGTATCAAATGGGCATCCCAGTTGAGGCTCAAAATGTTCTAGTTTGAAGCCCTTCAATTTCAACTACAAAAAATATAGTTTAATATATTGAAGTTTTTTCTAAATCGCGCTTTTTGGAGACAGAAGAATAATTGACTAACACACATTTTATACCAAAACAGGCATTGCTACTTGTGATGTACCGCAAAGACCTGTCTAAAAAGATTCCCATTATTCCGTACTTGGTCACTTGCAAAATTCCCCCGAGGATGTCAGGCAAGGTTCCCGCTTCAGTATCTTTGGTTGAAACTCAATGCGAAGAGGCGACTAACAATCTTCGGGTCATTTACAACCCTTTGACTGTAGGAGAAACAAAAAAAGACTTCCTCGTTTGCGTCAAAGCTCTCTTTTTTCCGTACAAACCACACATGGCGGTCAGAATTGTTGAGTGGATCGAGTTGCTCAAAATTTTGGGAGCTCAAAAATTCGTCATTTACAATTTTCAGGTACTTGAAACTCAAAACTGGAAAAAAAATGTGTTTTAATTTTGAAAAATTTCAGGCCCACGAGAACATTACTAGCGTACTTGACTATTACTCGAGCAACGAGAACTTTGAACACGTGCCTGTGACTCTTCCTGGAAAATTTCCAAATTACCAACACTTGATATCAGACTTTTTGTCCCAGCATAATTGGATTCAATACTTGAACGATATTGTTCAAGTAACTGATTGTATGTACCGACACCTCTACAAATTCAACTATGTCACCACTTTGGACGTTGATGAGGTCAGTCAATTGAAAAAATTTCAACCAATCCTCAAAACAAAAACTACACATTTTCTTTCAAAAGAAAAGTGTAAGAAAATTCTTGGTGCCCAACAAAAATCTCTTAAAGTATAATTTTATTTCATCAAATTTAAAATATTCAGACCAGAAGAAAAGTTCAAATTCATTTATTTCTGGATATTTTTAATTTCCCATGCTAATTTTTGCCTTCATTTTCAAGATCAAAGTACACTCTTAAAATAGAAATTATGTCTACACAATGAAAATTTCAGGTGATTGTTCCCATTAGCAAGGACAACTGGCACGATTTGATCTACGACGTAGCGGTGCCAAAAGCTGCTCAACAGAACAAATCGTTCGCAGGTTTTGTGTCAAAGAACACTTTTTTCTTAGACGACCAGATTGAACAGCAGGCTTGGTACCCAGACATACCAAAGTACATGCACATGCTGCAAAATGTGCATCGCAAGGATTTTTATTATCCGGTCAATCATACCAGAAAGCATTCGAAGGCTTTCTTTGACGTTGATAAGAATCTCTACATCTTCTGTCACTACCCAATGGAGTGCGTGGCCAATGAGTGCGATTATCTGATCTTCGACCCTGTAGAATCGCAACTTCAACACTACTGCGTTGGTCAGGGCAGGAGGCATAGTGACTGCAAAAACAATTCAAATACAGATATCGTGCAAGACACTTCGCTTTGGAAATACAAAGACGAGCTTGTTGCAAAAACAAGTAAAGTTCTTAAAGAAACAGGGTTTCTCAAATAAAGTATTTTCTCAATTGTAAATATATAAAAAAAAAAATGAATTTTTGATTGATTTATACATTTTGTATTTAAAGTGATGCGGATGTAAGAAAAAATGATAAAATCTATTTAATATAATTAATAATTACATTAACATGGCCTAGTTTCAATATTTTTCTTATGAACTGTAACTTAATTTATAGGAACCATTAAAGTGAGTCAATGATAAAAAAAATGCAATTTCATGAAATAAGTTTTTTTATACACAATAAATTTTTATGGACGTGGAAAGCCTGTAAATTCACTTCAATTGTAATTAAAATCGCTTATTCTCCCCTATTTCGTTATTATTTTTGTTAATATTAAGTCATATTTCTCTTGAAATATTTTGACTTTTCCCATCATGAAACTAATTCTTAAATATCAGCATTGACGAAACAGCCATAAACCAACAACAAAACAAACAGGTGGCCAAAAAGCGTCTGACAAAATATATATAAAATTCGTTGGAACGTCACCGCGTTTAAATCTCCTGGCTCTCACATTACAGCGAGCAAGTGTGAGAACCGCTGGAGAGCGCACTAACTATCCAAAAAAGTGGCAATGTTGTGATTATTACGGACATTTTTCTCGAGCAGATTCCCACAGGATGTTTTGAGGGTCACAACCCTCCGATCTCTTTCTCTCACGAACGAGACGCGCACCCCTTTTTCCTCTCCGCAGCACCATTCATTAAGGGATGCGGAGATACTGTAAACCCTCCTCTGCTCTCTCGGAATACATAAATTCACACACTTGCAAGAAGAAGCAACGTGAGCCCGCTTTTCCTTTTCTGCACAACAAGTGGCCGTGCAGTGCGCGGCGCGAAAAGACTCCAAATAATGAGCAAGTCGTCGCCTCTTTGTGCTCCACCGCATCTCATCTCCGCTCCGTAACCCTTCCTATAAATATATAAATACATAGCACGAACAAATAAGATACCTGCTGCTTTGTCCGCGCATTGCATTTCAAACGAGAGAGGCCCGCGTCTGCAAATAGAATTATCTCCGGTCGGATGCTGCGAGACGAGATCTTTTGGAAACCAACTTTCTCACCCATTCAACGAAAACTTGCCTCAAAAGGGTTGAATTTGGATCATTGACGGATTTACATGAAATCTCTATAAAATATAATTCTTCAACCGTTTTTCTTTTTAACACCATGAGGAGTGGGTAAATTATTCATCATTTTCTTTTTACTTGCTTGAATTATAAGAAACTAGATTGAGCCACATGAATATATGCTAATTTTTGCAGCAAAGTAAATAGAATTAGCTTATGGTAGTGCACTTTAATGCAATCTAATCTTGATGTTCAAGCGGAGAAATTATTGTTGAATGACATTCACTCAAAGTACCACTCACTGAAAAATTAAATAACAAAACATTTTTAGGCAGAAATGTTTTTACCCTTCTCTATATTCAATATTTTTTTTTTATGAATTTAATTTAATAAAAATAAAAGCATTTATGGAAATAGCTGGACGCTAAAAATGAAAGCCTTAAAATATTTCAATAAGTGCTTTAGTCAGTTCGTTTATGATTGAATGGGCATAGGTTTTTAGTTCTCCTCATGCAAAACTTAAGTATGTAGTTTACTTCTTCCTGCTGTTCAGGTCCACTGACACAAAAACTTGTACAACCTTTCAAAAGCTAGTTGCTCTAGAACGGATGCTTATCAATTTTTCTTTAAATCTTTTTTAAATTGTGCAATTTTTGTTTTCAATTTTCATTAAAAAATAGTCGAATTTGAAGTGGGGAATCCCTCAATGTGCAACAATAAATTGAATTTGGTTCAACTCATTCTTTTAAGCAATCATTTTGTGTATTGAAGTATCAAGAATGAAAGAATTGTGATAAAATGTAAGCGCGCTAGAGGATAACTACAAAATCAGCTTTTCCCATAATTGAGCCGCTCACTCTCCAGTCCCTAGCGCAGGAGTCGCAAGTTGCAGCTCCGAGTGCCAGGAAAACATGCGTCTTTAGATGAGCCTTCGCGGAGCTGGGAACACGGAAACCAGTAAAGATTATTTAATATATCGACGTTTTGCTACCAAAGGTACTGCATTTGATCAAGTCTTATTTTATAAACAATTAATAAAAAATTAAAGAAGCCTCTATGGAATGGCAAACTAACAAAAGAGATAAAATTTAATTTATTACTCATTTTTACCTTATTATTCACTCCTTAATTAAGCTCCAACTTCTTCTATCACACATTATTTTTTGCTACATTATTCCAGAGGGAATAAAAATCTGGACAAATGTATACATTTTAATTTATGCCGTCTTACTGCGGAAAATGTAATTAAGCCACATATTTATCACACATAAACTTTTTTTTAAATAATTTTTTGCATAATTTTATGAATAATTCTTTTCTCTGGAGAGGAAACATGCCATATCTCTCTCCTTTTCTCTTTTCTGACTGCTCACTCCAAAAGTTACTTATCACGAAAGTCGATCAAATTTGCATTCAAATTGAATTCACGATCTTCCACTTACTTTTTCTTATACTCATATACTGAGAGCCATCAAATAAAAACATCGCCGTTGTGTTGGAAAAAAATACAGCACGCGAGCGTCTTGTCTCAACTGTAAAAATAGTCGGACCCAATTTAATTTTGGTGCAGCATGATTTTTCCATTATGCCCAAATGTATAATCCGCGTGAGCTGCCGACGTGTGCGTTGCCCTCGGAGATTATTTATCTTCATTACTTGGATTGCCGGCGAGAGAGAGAAGAGGAAACCACCGAGATTAAATAATAAAAATTACTCTCTCACAGTTAATCCCTTCCTTGTTGTTACAATTTAATAATAATTCATCATCTCACTCTCTCGGATCATCTCACCTGAGGGATTGACCTGAAAATGCTTATCTGCGCGCAGGTCTTCCTGGGTGCAATCGCAGCGTGCTTTCGGATCTCTCTCGCGATGTTATCAGCGGAGAGTTGGATTTGGAAAATCATCTGTCTGTCTGAGCACTGACTGGGCTCGCAGCTCACGATGACTTTCGGACGCGTTTGCCTCTTTTATCTCGGCGAGAGCATCTCGCAGAGGCACCGTGGCGAATCTTGTGCCCAGTCGCGCAATTAACCTCTGCGGTGTGCAAGCATTTGTATTTTTTAAGCTGCGATGACACACGACCGAGTCTTGATTATAAGTGACAAGAAGAAGCACTGTTGGACTAAAGGAAATTTTGTACTAAAAATAATACTATCACTAATCTTTAAATAAGAAAAGCTCTTATATTCTCTTACATAATAAACAAGTTTTTAGTTTTAGTAAAAAAAGCAACAATGCTAATATTTTTACAAATAATAAACAAATAAAATCGCTAAAATATATTTTTTTTAATAATATATTATAATAATAAAATTTTTTTAAAATAATATGTATTTTTACTCCTATATGTTTTATTTTGTCTAGATACACAATAACGTAGGGAAAAAATTTAAATTTTTATTAAATATTAACAATTTTGAGGGATTTCCATAAAGAGAAAGTTTGAATATGTATTTTGAAAATCAAACATTATTGTGATTTAATCGATTTCAGTATTTTTCTATTTCCAATGCTATTTTACCACTATTTTATTTGCGAGTTCAATTAAAATTAAATTTAATGGCTGAAGGGAAATCCCATCTGCTAATACAAAGTTAATCTGTACAAGTTTTTATAAATATAATAATTGCACATTAAAATTAAGTATTGATTGTGCTGAAAATGTTCTCATTTGTGCTTCGCTAGGTCAATTGCAATAAACAAAAGTTTGTATTTAATGGTGCTGTTCACGGCAAACAATGCTGTGCAGGTTTTGCCGCCTCCACACATCCTGCTTAAATGAGACAAGCCGCAGTTAGTCAAACACGAAAAATATAAACAGGCAATATTTGAAAGTGATGCAAATTTCACATTCCTACAATTAATCACGCGGAGGACGGGTTATTAGCCGAGTTGCCGCCTCGCGTTGTCAACCTGCTTAACTTTTTCCTGACAAATGAGCCTCTCGGTTGGAAAAGCTCCAGCTCGGAGAATGTTTTTTGTGTTTATGGTGATGAGATGTAAACAAATGCGCACCGGAGAGTTAAAACCGCAGCAGCCTGGGTGGAGATTTCAATGCCTGCGCGCGTATATATCAATTGATGCTGAGCGCGGATAATCAAATGAAAATGGCCCATTACGCGCCTCAATCATCTGATCCGACTGACTGATGCTCCTTAAGGGGCTACACAACGCATGAATGCTGTGTGCGCTAATCCTTTCAGTCCGTGAAAGTCCGAGTGAGTTGCAGTTGCGGCAAAATGACTTGTTGTGACACAAAAATGGAATTTGTAAATTTTATCACACACAATTAAAAGTGATTTTATTTTTCAAAAACAAATCGGATTTGCCTTCAAAAGTAAAATTTTTTGATAAATTTTGATACGTTTTTCATCTTGCTGCATTTGCCTCAATATATGAGCAAACGCTGCCAGATTTGAGCTATAATTTTCATTGCACAGCTATTTTATTCGATTTCTGCTAAATAATGACCCAACACCAAACCAATTATGGTAAAAATTGCATTGCAATAAGAAAAATTATAATTTTAGGATTTGAAGAATTCATTGCTTTTCTTGAGTATTTAAACGATGGAATTATTGACTTCATATGAAATGATAAACCATCAAGATAGGGCCTCTTTTGACCTTATCAGAAGCAATTCCTATTAAAATTTAAAAATAGTTTATGTATTTTTTAATAATATTTATTTATGAATGTCTGATATTTTTTGCAGCAATCTTTGTCTTTATTTATTTAATGTTATAAATTCTAGACACAATCGGTAAAATTTCCAGCGCTGCTGCCCAAATGTAAATTGTGTGTTCAGGGATTTATGGCGTTACGATTACTCTGAGCCAATAGTTAATCCGTGCGCCTGCATCTCCTCCGTAAACGTGATGGCTATAATGTTGAGCACGACACTTATTGTATATTTACGTTTCGCCTTGCC